TCTTCAGCCAGGGCTGCTTCTCTGCCCCCACTTTTGGGTTTGCGCACCTTAGTTCATAGCAATTTGAAAATTCAGTGCCTCTCATATTTTCTGATCTGCACTCTCTCTGAGGGACTGTGCTTGGGTTGGGAGAGGAGAAGTATGAGGAGATGCACCTTCCAGAGAGGGTTAAGAACAAATACCCCTGGCATTTTGTGGTGGGCCTCTCCCTGAAGGGAGTCTGGGCCCATAACTTGGGTTGTTTGGCAGCATGGTCTGTTTTGTTCTTGAGGACATCTGAGGTTTTCAGCAAGTCTCACTGTGAAAACTGTCATGTCTTAGGGAAATTATGAAGGACCTCCCCTGGCATGTGGAGATGTAATAGGTTAGCATATCCACGAAGGCGAGAAGGCAATACTGAAGGGAATCTTTGTGTTCAGATGACCCAACTCTAGAAGATGGAGAGTTGGCAACAACACTAAAGGCCAGAACTCCTTGGGGGTGTTCTGAATTGATCAAGTCATATGGTGAGAGGGACATTGGATGCTATGTTCTTTCACATACTGAGTCACACGTTGGGAGATATGCTGGAACACCTCGAACTCTCACACACACTGTTGTCTTTGCTTCCTGATGGACAACTAGGTGTCCATACCCTGAGACTCACACCTCGGGCTGCATCTTAAGGAATTGAGAAAATGTAACCCCAAATCCTTAAACAAACAAACAACAACAAAAACAGGCCCCATCCTTTTCTCCTTTCCTTTGCTAACTTCATGTGACACTTTCTTCTCTGCTTTTTGGTTAAAGGGGCATTTAGGCCCAATGGTGACCTGGAGAAAAGCCCTATCAACCCCAACATTGATGCTTGTTCCAGCTAGATAAGCCCCTAACAGAGCTCCAAAAGTATCATAAGCCAAAAACATAAGCATAAAGTGGGCAGTGTGGCACATACCTGTAATCCCAGCTGGGAGGAGGAGGCAGGAGGATCCTGAGTTCAAAGCCAGCCTCAGCAAAAGAGAGGTGCTAAGCAACTCAGTGCGACACTGTCTCTGAATAAAATAGAAAATACAGCTGGGATGTGGCTCTGGGGTCAAGTGTCTCTGAGTTCAATCCCTGGTACATGCCCCCCTTAATACCATAAGGCAGAAATTTTATTGTCCATGTTTTAGAAAGCTGAAAGGAGGCTTCTCAGGTTGGGAGGATATAAAAGTGCTTTTCATGTGACTCATTGAAGGCCTATATCTCCTAAAAAACAAATGAGATTAAAATGATTTCTCAACTACATAGTTCTCCAAAATATGTTTATCCTAACCCTTTAAAAAAAGAATTTCCATTTGTAAGGGTGTCTCCCTCTATCTATTAGCTCTTAAAATGGGATAAGATATTCATTACGTCCACATAAGAAGCCTCATCTTTAAACATTTTGGTTTTACTAGGCTTTTGTCTTCCCCTTCCCAGTGATATTTAGACTAATTTCTGTGTCTATTTTGAGATAGAAAATTTCTGCTGTGTTTCAATAAAGTCAGACCTTTGGAAGTATGAATTTAAGATTAATGATTGCTCAGAGACATGGTATATCTGCAGTCTAGCTTTTAAAAGGATGAAAATAGGAAATCTAAAAGTCACAAATTTTTGTTTTCCTTCTATAGTTTTTGTTTTGTATACATGTGTGTTTTGTATGTTGCATCTACGTGGTACCAAATTTGCTGGCAATAAATAAGTACTCATGAATTTATAAAGATATAAACCCAAATGGCCTTTTAAATAAAAGAAATAAATCTTTGACAGACAAGTTAATTTAGTTTTGCTGGTAAGATAAAAGTAAAGATTTCTTTAAAATTACTAGCACAGACATTTTTTTTT